CCGTCGTGGTGGACGCCGTGGTGCTTGTCGACTCCGTGGAACTGGATGCTCCCTCCGCGGGGTCGCTCGGCTCTGTGGAACTTGTGGCCCGACCCCGTGGAACGGATTGCCGGCGTAGTGCTCGACTCTGTCGTAGTAGACACCGCGATGCTGCTCGACACCGTAGACCTAATAAGCATCGCGTTGCTGGATATTGGCGCGGTGCTCGGCTCCGTCGCGGTCGACGCCGTGATGCTGTCCAACTCCGCGAACATAGATCCCGATGTGGTGCCCGATTCCGTCGTGGTAGACACCCCGGCTCTGCTCCACGCCGTAGAACTGGAAACAGGTGTGGTGCTCAACTTCGTCGTGGTAGATCCCGTGGCGCTGCTCGAATCCGCGGGGCAGGTATCGACTCGGTGCTAAACTTCATCGCGGTGGACACCGTGGTTTTGCCCGTTGCCGTAGAATCGGAGGCCGACGTCGTGCTGGGCATCTGTCGGTGTGGACACCGTGGTACTGGTTGGCACCGCAAAACTGATGAGCTCCTTGGTGCTAGTCGCTGGAATGGTGCTCGGCTCCGTCGTAGTAGACGCCGTGGTACTGAGCGCCTCTGCCGATAAATGGATGTCAACGAGGTGCTCGACTCTGTCGTGGTGGACACCGTGGTGCTGCTCGACTCCGTGGGGCTGGAAGCCGATGGGGAACTCGACTCCCTCGCGGCGAAAGCCGTGGGGTTGCTCGTCTCCATGGAATTTGATGCCATGATGGTGCTGACTCCTTCGGGTTGGACGCCGTGCTGCTGCTCGACTCCGTAGAACTGGGCTCCAACGTGACATTCTTCTCCGTCGCGGTGCCAGGTCGTCTCGCCGCCGGAGTTCAGGGTGTCGCAGCAGCGCCGCGGGTGACATAGTAGACGCGGTTCTGGCCCTGCTGCGCGCCGTCGTCGCACGCCATGGCGCCGGTGCGCTCCTTGCCAAAATTCGAAGTGTAATGGCGCCTCAGCTCCGCAACCGTTTTGCGGTTGGTGGGGTCGTCGTGGGCGCCGAGCTCCATCCGGGCGCCCTCCCTGCGCCGCTCGCGCGCTGCCTCCCCGGGGCGCGCTCCGCTCCGGGGGGGCCTGGGGCCCCAGGAGTCCCGCGCGGCGCCGCCGTGGCGTCGGCGCTCTGCCCGGGGGCCTTGGCGCGGTTGGGTCGCGCACAGGATGGCGATGATGTCAGCGGAGATGATGGTGGCGGTGGCGATGGTGCAGAAGACACATGGGGAGCATAAGCAGGGATGCGAGAAGGGCAGGGGGGGCGGGAGGAGGGGGCGATCAATGCGCAGATCGCTGCGGATTAGAAGCGGGGGCCCAACTCCGCTGGATGGTCGGGGGCGAACGGCCGCTGACGTCTCGCGCGCGCGTGCGCGCGCGCGCTGTGAGGCAGCAGGCTGGACCTGACTGGGGATTGCTGCCCCCGTCGGGGAACCCATCAGGGGCTGGGATTAGATATCGGGGTAGGCGCCGTCGAGACTATAGGACGTGGCCCACAGTGGGCGCGTTGGATTCGGATCCGAGCATGCTGAACTATGGCTGGGGGGGGGGGGGGCTGTGAGCTGCAATTTCCGTGCCCGAGCTTGCCGCCGGCGAGGGCGGTGGGTCCTCGTAGTAAAAATTATCGCTGTCGCATGTGTCTGAACTCGTCAGGGGCCGTCAGCTGAATGAAGCAGCCGAAACCTGAGTTGGTCCGCGGGCGCGATCAGTCGGCTGCCCGACCTCTTTCGACCCCAACTGGGGCTGCCGCGGAGTTCGACTGACGCGGGGCCCAGTGGCCGCGGTGGGCTTTGGACGCCCGCGGGCGATGCGCTGCGACGCGATCGCCGTTGCGAGCGGCGCTCGGGCCTGGCCTGGACCGGGCGGTTGAGGCCGCGGCCTCGAGACTCTGGCTCGTCTGGGCGCGCGCAGTGCGAGGCGCGCGAAAAGTTCGGAACTCGCCGGGCGGACAGGAGGGCGGGCCAGAGGCGACGGCAGCGCAGGGGCACGAGGAAGTCCAACATCCAAGCCTCTACGAGCGCGGGCGGGCACGCGCCGCGCGGCGCGGATGGGGGCGAAGGGGGTGGGCGGGAAGAAAAATCAAAACATCCGGCGCCTCGATTCTTTGGGGGCGCGGGCCCCCGACCCCCCAGCCACTTGCCGGGGGCCGGCATTTCATCCCGAATCGTTTTTTCGATGGCCCCGAGGCCCCGCAAGCTAGGGCCCCGAGAGGCCGGGAGCGACGAAACGCCTCGGTCTCGATTTTTTTCGAGACGCCCGATGTCTGGGGCGCCCTGGGAGCCGGCGTCGGCGCGGCGCCCCGCGGGCGCGGGCGAGGCCGAAGGTTTTCGGGGCTGCTAGGTCTGCGGCCGGGGGCCGCGGGCCGTCGTGGCGCGGGGCTCCAGCGTGGCCCCGTGGCCCCTCGATGCGCCGCCGAGGGCCCGGCGTGCCGGGGCCGCTGGCCCCGCGCTGACGCTCCGCCCGGGCGCCTCCGAGCGCGCGCGGGCGGGGGGGGGGCAGCGGCGAGCTGCCGCGCCGACGCGGGGCGCTTCGTCCTCGAGTGCCCAGCCTCCCTGTCGACGCGACCCCCGGCTCGCGCCGCGGCGGCCCCCGAGCCCCGGAGCTCGCGCAACCGCGGGCGCAAGCCCGCCCCCTGGACTGCGAGGAGGGCCCGGAACCGTCTGAGGCGGACGTCCGCGCTCGCCCGCTAAGCTCGCTCGCAGTGGTCTCGAGCCTCTCTGCGGCGGGCTTTGGGAGTTGACTGGGAGTTGACTGGGGGGGCCTTTGGGAGTTGACTGGGGGGGGGGGCTTTGGGAGTTGACTGTGGGGGCCTGGCGCGCGGGCGCAGACTGCATCCCTTCGCGACTGAAGTTATGCGCCAACTGTGGCACCATCGCCCGCGGCAAAGTGGCCGCCCCGCAAAGCCGCCCCGGCCGCGCCGGGCCGGGGCGCGGCGGCGTCTGCCGCCCCCCGAGCCAGACGCGCGGCGTCTCCACATTGCGGGCAGAAGGTCTGGGTTTTAATGGCCCCTATAAGGTCGCCCCGCTCAGGGCCGTCGCTGGGGGGCTTTGGGCAGCGAGTGAAAGGACTGGAGGGGGCCGGGGAGGGGGAGGGGATTCAACGACGAGAAAACGATGTTGAACCCTGCGCGGATGGGCTCTGTAGCGGTCGATGTAACTTGAATCGCTTGCAGGTTCGCGCTTTCAGCTCTCGGGCGAACGTCGCCGATCGCCTGCCTGAGGCCTGGCCCCTGGGGTGTCCAGAAAGAAACAGTAACAACCTACTCGCCTGGTCTGTGCCGCCGTGCTCGCTTGTGGCTGTCTGGTGGGTCGATGGGTGCGCTTGCTGGCGGCCCTCGGATCCCGCGGGGCTTGGGGCGCGCCCTTCCGCGGTGGTCCGCTGGGGCTGTGCGGCTTGCCCTGTGCGCGCCAAAACGCGGGCCGTCGGAAACGCTCGGTGACGCCCCTGGGTTCCCGGGTCAACGTCCCTAACGGTCCTGCCCGTTGCCGTTCGTTCCCGCCGCGCCCGTGGCCGAGCGGCGAAAACGGTCCCGTGCCCATGCGAGGGCGTGCTGCGCACCGGAAAGTTAGCGCGCCCAAGCAAAGTCACTGGGGCTGCGGAAGTTATGCAAATATCAGAGACATGGCTGGTGCCAGGTCTGTCGTTGGTGCCATGCTGCTGACAAGGAATCCCGAGTCAACTCCAAATTTTCGGCATGGGGTAGCTGCTATCGGCAAGAAGATGGCATACTCCAGCTCATTCTCCTTGCAGTGCACGTAAAAACACATTCTGTCATAACTGACACGATGTGCACTCCATGGGAGCGCGGGCGATCCAAGGCGCACTTGTACGTGCCAGTGTCTCATCCTGTCGTCTCTGGTCTGTGCGTGCATGTGCACGCTCAGAGGGCTCGCGACGCAGAAGGAACTTTTCGTCGGGGTCATGAGGTACTTTTGTCGGTCCCAGGCTGTTTCTCGGAACGGCAGTGATCGGCGCGCACGACTCCGGATAGGGGAGCCGAAGCTGCTCTGCAACCTCACCATCTCCGTGCATTCCGTGGCTGAGGGAAGGCTCATGGCCGCCTGGTGTGCTGATGGTTTCGCTATACATGCTCTCATACTGGTCCGATCCCATCTGCCCATCTGTGCCCAATTTTGCGGCTTGACACATCGCCCTCTTCGACTGATACATTCGGGTCGGATCACCTTCAAAATGGTCGAGGATGGACACCGTCAATTTCGCCGTACTGAGTCCCAGTGTCTCGGCGGAGGGTAGGCGTAATCCATGACTGTGCCTGGATCAACTATCGCTGGGCCGGAGAGGCGGCGGTATAACGTGGGGACGTGGGGTATCGCTGGCCCCGAAGTGTCTGGAAACGATTGGGCATCCAATGGGCTGATAAGGTACTAGCTGAAAACCTTGTTCATGACCCGATATGGACCGACAAGTCACGGCAGGGATCATATAAAAGCGCTCAGCCTGAATATTTTATAGCACCCATCCTGGAATATATTCTGCCTCTGGACCCGCGCGTATGGGCAGAGTGGCTGCCAGGATATGGGCATCCACCGCGCTGCCCAGCTCGCTGCCGTTGTTTCAGCCCGGATGCCCTTTGCAGACGCTCCCATCAGCGCGCCCGTGGCGTGGCTCCTGTCGGGCAGCGCTTCGGCCCGCTCCCTACCCAGCCCGTCGAGGCACTCCTCTTGGGACGTGCAACTCTCAGGATGGGCGCCCCGATGCGGCATCCCCATCGCCCGGTCCACGCCGTTCGGCCTTCCTCCTCCTCCTCCTCCTCCTCCTCCTCCTCCTCCTCCTCCTCCTCCTTTTCCTCCTCCGCCGCCTCCTCTTGCTCCTCCTCCTCCTCCTCCTCCGCCTTCGTGCGCTTCCGGCTCGTGCCCCCGATCCTCCGCCCTGTCCCCGCTGGCTCCCCACCGCCCGTGCTGATCCCAAGCTCAGGCCGGCTCCCCGCGCAGGGAACGACCGGGCGACGCGCGTCCGAGGCCCCGGCTCCTCCTGGCGGATCCTCGTGGCCTGCGCCTGCGCCGCGGCCATTTCCGACAGCTCCTCGCTGGCCCGCTCTGGGGGGCGATCGCGCGGCCGCGCGGGGGATCCCCTGCCATCCCCTTCTCCAGTTCTCCGTGCGTCCTACAGTCAAAACCCCTAATAAGGACGCGCGGGAGGGACGCAAGACCCTTGGAAGCGGAATTGGGATTTTGGGGGCGGCGGACGACGAAAACCTCAAGGACGCAAGAGCAATGAAGAGCAAGGACGCAAGGGTACCCTGAGCAAAGTCGCGCGTCCTTATTCCCCATATCCTAAGATGGGGTTCTTGTTATTACTTGGACGCCTCCTACTCCTCCTCCTTCCTCCTCCTCTTTTCTCCTCCCCTCCTGTCGGACATACTCAGACTTGCTCATACACAGACTTACTCATACTCAGACTTACTCATACTCAGACCTACTCATACTCAGACTTACTCACACTCAGACATACTCATATACAGACTTACTCATACACAGACTTACTCATACACAGTATTAGTCATACCCAGACGTACACATACACAGACTTACTCATACACAGACTTACTCATACTCAGCACCCCTAAGGGGAGCCGCCAGGGGTGGTTGCACGGGCTCGTTCGCGGCCATTTTGTGGGGATGTCTCAGGCGGTTTGCCTGTTTCTGTGCCCAACATCCTTCGCTTTCGGAGCAGATTTGGAGGATGTCTCGAGCGAGGCGCTCATTTCAGCACCCCTAAGGGGAGCCGCCAGGGGTGGTTGCACGGGCTCGTTCGCGGCCATGTTGTGGGGATGTCTCAGGCGGTTTGCCTGTTTCTGTGCCCAACATCCTTCGCTTTCGGAGCAGATTTGGAGGATGTCTCGAGCGAGGCGCTCATTTCAGCACCCCTAAGGGGAGCCGCCAGGGGTGGTTGCACGGGCTCGTTCGCGGCCATTTTGTGGGGATGTCTCAGGCGGTTTGCCTGTTTCTGTGCCCAACATCCTTCGCTTTCGGAGCAGATTTGGAGGATGTCTCGAGCGAGGCGCTCATTTTCACCCCCCAGGTGGGCCAGATTTTGAGGATGTCTCGATCGGTTTGCTAGTTTTGGTGGCCAGGCTCGTGGGCGCAGATTCTTCTCAGGATGCCACAGGAGGCTCCAACAGGCTCCAGGAGGCTCCAGGAGACCACATGAGGTCCCAGGAGGCATCAGGAGGCCACAGAAAGACTCAAGAGGCCACAGGATGTCCCAAGAGGCTCCAGGAGGCCCCAGGAAGCTCCAGAAGGCCTCAGGAAACCACAGGAGACCCCAGGAGACAACAGGAAGCGCCAGGAGGCCTCGGAAGGCAACAGGAGGCCCCGAGAGGCCCCAGGAGCAGGAGGCCTCAGAAGGCAACAGGAGTGGCTCCAATTCCATGTGTTTTACGTATGCTCCTATCGATTGGGCCTCACCTGGAGCACGATTCTTTGATGTTCTACGTATGTTTCTATAGATGGTCCTTCTCCTGTGTACACAATCCTAAATGTTTTACTCATGTTCCTATGCATTGGGCCTCTCCTGGGGCACGAGTCCTTGGTGTTTTACGCGTGTTCCTATAGATTGCCCTTCTCCTGTGGCTCTAATCCGCAATGTTTTATGTACGTCTGTTGCTATAGATTGCGCCTCCCCTGGGGCACGAAACCTTCCTAGGAGGTCCCAGGAGGTCCCAAGAGGCTCCTGGAGACCCCAGGAAGCCCCAGTAGGTTTCAGGAGGCCCCAGGAGGCCCCAGGCTCATGCACAGAGACGCGCTCGTACTACTGAGGCTCATTCACACTCCAATTCAGTCGCAGTTAGATTGATGTCCAGACCGTCACAACTGAAGCCCGTTAATATTCGAAAGCTCTTGCGCCTAGACATTCACGGCGGACAGGTCCATGCGAGTAGATGCACATATGGGGAGCTCCACGCAGTGAATCATTCGGGTTTTTGACTGTATTCCTCCTGGACCCTGCTTCCAAGCCTCCTCCTCCCCTTCCTCTTCCTCGTCCTCCTCCTCCTCCTTCTCCTCCTGAGGACTTTCCTCCTTTTCCTCCTGAGGACTTTCCTCGTCCTCCTGAGGACTTTCCTCCTCCTTTTCCTCCTTTTCCTCGTCCTTCCTCGTCCTCCTCCCCTTCCTCGTCCTCGTCCTCCTCCTCCTACTGAGGACTTTCCTTCCCGAGCCCCTCTTGCTCGAGAGTGGGGGACTGCGGGCTGCCCTCGGGGTCGAGGGCGTGCGCGCGGAAAAATTGGCGCGCGCGCGCGTCTGTGAATACTCTGCGTGCTCTGTGGCCTCCTCCTCTCCTTCCTCTTCCGCCTCCTTCGCCTCCTCCTTCTCCTCCTCCTCCTCCTCCTCCTCCTCCTCCTCCTCTTCCGCCTCCTCTCCTCCTCCGTCCTCCTCCTTCTCCTCCTCCTCCTCCTCCTCCTCCTCTGTGGCGTCCTCCTCTCCTCCTCTTCCTCTCCTTCGTCTTGCGCCTCCTTCTCCTCCTTCCTCTTCCGCCTCCTTCTCCTCCTCTTCTGTTGTTGTTTCTCCGCCCCGCCAGCAAAAACCAACAAGGCAGAGAAAAGCCCAACCAGTGGATGGTTTGACAACTAGTGTTGTATGGATATTGCGATCGATTGTGAGATCGATAGCGAGATCGGTAGTGGAACCGATAGTGAGGACGATTGTAAGGTCGATCGTGAGACCGATGGTGAAATCGATTCCATGAGATCGATAGTGGGATCGATCGTGAGATCGCTCGTGCGATCTAAATGAGATCGGCAGTGAGATCGATTGTGAGATCGAAACTTCGATCGATAGAGAGATGGGTCATGAGATCGATGGTGAGACCGATCGATAAAAGAATCGACCAAGAACCTGAGAACCCGGGAACCCCGCCGCCCACCGAAATCGGCCCGGAACGCGGAAACGGGAACCCGAGAACCCGGAACCGGGAACCTGAATGGGAACCTGGCCGCCAACGTTCGCCAAATCCTTCAAGATCCGCTAGGACCCCTTCAGTGCAAGCTGTGATTGGTGAATGGAGAACATACCAACACAAACCTGGGCAACTCTCCAACCTTTGTTTCGATTTCTTTTGGGGAGGGTGGTGGGGGGGGCGGGGAAGAAAACAATCCGCCTCCTCCTCCTTCTCGATCGCCTCCTCGTTGTCGTCGTCGTCGTCGTCGTCCTCCTCCTCCTCCTCCTGTCTCACATCTTTATGTTGTCGCCCCCCACAAAGCACAATCAAAGCATTACACCTGAAAAAACCCTAATCAGCGGATGGTTTGAAAATTACTGATGTGGGTATTTGAGCTCGATTGTGAGATCGATAATGAGATCGATCGTGGGATCGATGGTGAGGACGATAGTATGGTCGGTCGTGGGACCGATAGTGATGTCGAATCAGTGAGATCGATAGTGAGATCGATCGTGAGATCGCTCTTGCGATCTAAAATGATATCGGTTGTGCGATCGACCGTGGGATCGCAAATTAGATCGATGGAAAGGTGGGTCATGAGATCGATGAAGAGACCGATCGATCAAAATATCGACCAAGAACCCAAAAACCCAGAAATCCGGAAACCCCGCCGCCCACCGAAATCGGCCCGGAACGCGGAAACAGGAACCCGAGAACCCGGAACCGGGAACCTGCATGGGAACCTGGCCGCCTACCGAAATCGGCCGCAAACTTTCGCCAAATTCTTCAAGATCTGCTTGGACCCCTTTAGTGCAAGCTCTGATTGGGGAACAATGTTCCAATCTCCACCCCGATTTTGATTGTTGTTCGGTTCTTTTTGGGGGGCCTCGGGGGACATGCATCCTGCTTCTGCTTCTCGATCGTCTTGTCCCCCGCCTCCTCCTAGAGCCCCCCTGCGAAGTCCTGCTGAGCCTTGCTGTCCCCTGCTACGTCATGGTGGATACTGCCAGCCCCAGCTAAGCATTGCTGAGCCCTACCAGCTCCTGCTGAGCCCTGCCCGTGCGCCCTGCCAGCCCGTGCTAATCCCTGCGGAGTTTTCCTGCTAAGTCAAGCTGAAGAGCCATGGAAGCGCTCTGCAATGTCACGATATGCCCAACTAAGCTCTTCAAAGCTCTCCTAAGCCATGCGAGGTTTTGCAAAGCTGTTATAGGCCCTGATCTGCCATGTTAGCTCCTTCCAGGCGCTGCTAAGACGTCCCGTTCCTTCGTGAGCTTTTGGAAGCCCTGCGGCACTGCGGCACCTGTTTAAACTCTGCTCCGCCCTTCTGAGCTCAAGGCCGCCATTGCAACCCCTGCAAAGCCCTTCCAAGCCTGGATGAGCCTTACTAGGCCATGCGAAGCCCTGGTGAACTCGGCTCTGCCCTGCTGAGCTCTGCTCAGTCATGAGACTGCTTGGTGAGCCATGTTCTGCCCTGTTAAGGCCTGGCCCCAGTAAGCCCTCCTGCTACGTTCAGCTATGCTTAGCCCATCGATGGCCTGCCACGCCCTGCTAGGGTCTGCTGGGCCCTGCTGAGCTCGGCCAAGCTCCGCTACGCCCTGCTGGGCTCCGCCAAGAATTCCTTCCCACTGCTAAACTACGCTCAGTGTTGCTATGCCCCAGGAAGGCCTGCGACGCACTGCTAAACCTTGCGCAGCCTTGCGGGGGCCTGCTGCGCTCTGCAGGCCACTGCTCATCTCTGCGGAAGCAGCTTTTGCTCTGCTAGAACATGCGATGTTCTGCTCGGCTCTGGTATGCCCTGCTGGGCTCTGGTAGGCCATGATCGGTCATGCTAGGCCCCATTAGGCCATGCTTTGGCATGCTAAGCCATGGGGTGCCGTATTGCCCAACCCTCCTACAGCAAACTCGGCTCTGCTAAGCTGCAGTCCCTCGTAGCAGTGCTACCCCCCGCCAGCCGATGCTCTAAGCCTTGATACGACTTGCTCAACAATGCTAGGTTCTGTTCAATCCTGCTAAACTGCTAGGCCTTGCAAGGCCCGGATGGGCTTTGCTAGATCTTGACAAGCCTTGCTTCGCCTCGCGCAGCCCTGCCACGCAACGCTAAAGCCTGCTAGGTTTTGCCAAGCCAAGGTGTGTTCTGCTAAGCACCGGTCGGATGTGCCAC